AATATGACTCTAAAAATGAAAAATAAAAAAAAATTTTTACAAAAGGGATTGATAAGATGTTGGTTGGAAAAGGGGAAAAGAAAATTTCAAAAAAAAAGAAAAAAAAAGAAAATTAAAAAAATTAACTTTGAAAGACTAAAGAATCAGGGAGGAAAAGGCCATGAATTCTATGTGCTATATGCCCCTAGTGCTGGAATTCTGCTGTTCTCATTGATCGGCAAACTTGGTCTCTGCTGGCTCTTCTTACTGATCTTCTGGGGGAGGAGCCTGTTGCTGTGGTTCTCAAATGTCTTTGTAGGAGGCAGAATTGCCCCACCCTTGCTGGGTCCGGGCTGAGTAATTGCTCAGGTTTGCTCTTGGGAGGTTTTGTTCCCTACAAGCTTTCCATGCAGCTTTGGAGGAGGAGAGTGAAAATGGTGGCCTCCCAGTCTCCACTCTGGAGGAGCCGAGAACTCGGGGCCCCACTCCTCAGGGAACCCCTAGAGAAAAGCAGTCTATCACTCCCATCTCCCCAGTCTCCGGCCACACTCCGTGCTCACCCGACCTGTGACTGAGTGTTTCTATCTCTGGCACATGACCCCGTGTAGTCTCCAAATCCAGCAGATCCCTGCAGTGCGCTCCCATGCCGCTTCTCCCGGTGGAGGAAAGGGAGTCTCCCAGGATCTGCCGCTTGTTGGGTCCCTGCTGGAGGAGCAGTGGCCCGACTGTGCTGCGGATCGTGGTTTATGGCAACCCCTAGCTGAGAGCCCACTCCTCGGCTCCATCTCTGCAGCTGGCTTCCCTGCTCTGATACCTGGGAGCTCTCCTGCACTCAGGCACCCCCAGTCTTTCTGTGACCCAGAGGGTCCTGAGACCACACTGTCCCGGTGAGAGTTCCATCCCCCTGCTTAGCCACTGGAGCGACGTCCCTCAGCAGAATTAACTTCTAAAATTTCCAATTTTGTCTCTGCAGCTCTATCACTTGCAAGTAGTGGCTGTTGGAGGCCCCCTCCCCCACTGTCTATCTTCCCGAATATCACCTCGGATTCACTTCTCCGCACGTCCTACCTTCCAGAAAGTGGTTGCTTTTCAGTTCAGAGTTCCTGCCATTCTTTTCTTTGATCTCCTGTTGAGTTCATAGGTGTTCAGAATGGTTTGGTCCCTATCTAGCTGAATTCCTGGGACTAGATGAAATTTAGGTCTCCTACTCCTCCGCCATCTTGCTGCTCCCCCCTCCATCTCCTCATTTTCAATCTGTAGGTGTCTTTAGGTCTAAAATGAATCTTTTGTAGGCAACATATAGATGGGTCTTGTTTTTTTTTATTTGTTCTGCTTCCCTAAATCTTTTGATTGGAGCATTTAGTCCATTTACATTCAGAGGAATTATTAATGGGTATGAATTTCGTGCCATTGTATTACCTGTAAAATTGGTGTTTCTGGAGATCTTCTCTGTTCCTTTCTAGTCTTTGTAGCTTTTGGTCTTTCTTTCTCACTCAGAGTCCCCTTTAATATTTCTTGCAGGCTGGTTTAGTCATCACAAATTCCTTTAGTTTTTGTTGGTCTTGGAAACTCTTTATCTCTCCTATTCTGAATGACAGCCTTACTGGATAAAGTATGCTTGGCTGCAGGTTTTTGCCATTCCACATGTTTAATATATCATGCCACTTTTTTTCCTGCCCGCCATGTTTCTGCTGTGAACCTGATTTGTCTTCCACTGTAGGTTAAGGACCTTTGCTCCCTTGTAGCTTTTAGGATTCTTCCCTTATCTCTGTATTTTACTAATTTTACTACTACATGTTTTGGTGTTGGCCTGCTTTTGTTGATTTTGATGAGAGTTCTCTGTGTTTCCTGTATTTGGATGTTTGTTTCCTTCCCCAGATTAGGGGAATTTTCAGCTATAATTTGCTTAAATAAACCTTCTGCCCCCTTTTCCCTCTCTTCTTCTTCTGGAACTCTTAGGATATGAATGTTATTACACTTTATGGAGTCATTGAGTTTCTTAAGTCTCCATTCATGATCCAATATTTTTTTCCTCTTCTTTTCAGCTTCATTATTTACCATAATTTTATTTCTATATCACTTATTCATTCCTCTGTTTCTTTCATCCTTGTGGTCATTACACCAGTTGGTTTTGCATCTCAGTTATAGCTTTTTTATTTTATTTTATTTTACTTTATTTTATTTTATTTTGGCCTGACTAGTGTTTAGGTCTTTTATGTCTGTGGTAAGGGACTCCCTGGTATTTTTTATGCTTTTCTGAAGCCCAGCTAATAATCTTATTATTTTTCTTTTAAGTTCTGGATCAGGCATATTAATTTCATCTGTTTTAATTAGATCCCTGGCCTTGACCTCTTCTTATTCTTTTTTGGGGATCAATTCTGCTGTCTTGACATATCATCTAGGTCTCTATCTTCTGTGTGTTAGGAAAGCCTGCTATGTTTGCTGCTCCTGAGAGTAATGGCTTTATGAAGAAGAGATCCTATACTGTCCAGGGCCTGGTGCTTCAGGAACTGTTTCTTGTATATGCTTTCTGCACTCTGCTGTTGTGTTTTAGCTGGTCTTTCCCTCAGGTCAGTCCTCTGCAGTTGCCTGCAGTGGGGAGTGTTTGAACCTTGTCTACTGTGTGGTGAGTTTTAACTTGTTGTGTTTTGATCTGCTTGTTTAAAAAGGCTAGATCCTAATTTCCTTAGAACTGAAGCTTTGCAGATCTCTATGGTCAGTAGAGTTGGTATGTGGGGGGTGGTGTTTCTGTTGGTCTTCTGGGGGAGGGACCTGCTGCCCTGATTCTCAGGTAGCCTTGCCCTAGTGGAACTGTACCTGTAGGGCACAGTGGCACAGTGCTTGGTGTAAGTGGCTCCAGCCTCCACCAGGAGCACCGTATTTCTCACTGAAGTGGGTCAGTGGCATCAGCCCACACTTTTGTCCCTGGAGTGGGGCATTTACACCTGCCACTATTCAGGAAAGCCCTCACAGAAGAGCAAACAATCTCCCCTCTTGTGTCCCTGACTTCTGTCAGAACCCTGCCTTAACCCCGTCTGTGTCCAGGTTGTCTGTCCACTTGGAAGTGCAGTGCTCCTGTGTTTTATCTCAAGCATGCTGGCTGGGCTTCAAAACTCCACATTTTAGAGAGCTGGTGGAGCACAGACCCATGCTGATGTTCTGGGGGAGGGTCTTACTATGCTGGGGCTGGTACTGGTTTGTTCCTGAAGGCAGTTACAGGAATGTGCAGGAGCTTGAAGTTTAGAGTTTAGAGTGCAGCAAAAAGCCAGAGTCCAGGCTGGCTCTCCTCAGAAGGGGTCTCTGCTCCTATGCTTATAACAGAGCTCACTGGCTCTTTTGTCCCCAGAAAGGCCATGCCATCTCTCCCAAAAGCACTCCAAGAAGGGGAACTGTCTCTCCCAGTGCAACCCAGGGATCCTCAGACCATGCTTCCTGCTCCTGGCCTCCACTCTCCTTCTCCACAGGAATGCCTCTACACCTACCAGGCTCCACCCTGGTGATGGTGTGGACTTCTAAAACATCAGACTTTGAGCTCCATTGCTTATAAAAACGTGCAATAATCAGCCCCTCTTGTTTTCTCCATCAATGATTTTGGGGAAGTGTTGTTCTTGTGCAATGCTCTGCACCCTGTTCTCTCTCTCTCTCTCCTCTCTACCTGATCAGGGCTCCCTCCCCTCTGTAGCTTCCATGACTCTTTTCTCCCCTAAATCACATCCCTGCACCTCCTATCTTCCATGATGTGGCCTCTTCTCTCCCTCTACTTGTGCAGTTTGTTCTCTCAATCTCTCAATCTGCTTCTGCCAGAAGCAGAAGTCCCCTTATAGTTTTTACACAGTTTTCATAGGCTCTACTCGAAACCTGTGGACCCAGTGCTTCTGAAGTTAGGTGGATAAATCTATATTTTAAAAACTACCTCTGAGGTGATTAGTACAATAAACCAGAGTTAAGAATTTCTACCCCAGAACTTGTTCATATCCAGCAGGTGAGATGTAATGAAAGGTCAGAGCTGACACAGAGGAGGAGCAAGGGCTCTAGTTCTTGGCTCAGTTCCTGGTAGCACATGCCTTTCCCTTTTCTCCTACACAGTCCTCAGTGGCCTTCTTCCATTTATTAGTAACCTTAAGTCGGCCTTCCTATGTGAACTTACATGTGAACAGAGACTTAACACTCTAGAATTAGAGCCTACCTACCTACCTAAATCCTGCTTGTTTTTTTTTTTTAAAGATTTTATTTATTTATTTGAGAGAGAGAGACTGAGAGAGAGAGCACATGAGAGGGGGGAGGGTCGGGAGGGTCAGAGGGAGAAGCAGACTCCCTGCTGAGCAGGGAGCCCGATGCGGGACTCGATCCAGGGACTCCAGGATCATGACCTGAGCCGAAGGCAGTCGCTTAACCAACTGAGCCACCCAGGTGCCCCAATCCTGCTTGTTTTTTAAGGGCATTGCAAAAAAGCCTTTTCTAGTTGAAAACTTTTCTGATCCATCTCTGCCAAGTATAAAAATATGATATCTACTCTCTTCACATTTTTGTAACTCTTGGAATCTTGTGCAATATTTTCTCAACCAGATGCTCTTCTAGGGTAGGGGCCATGTTGAGTTCATTATCACAGCCTTGTAGCCCTTAACCCATCATGTCAATAGTGATTGAAAGGGACACGGAGCCTAGTTGCTTAGGAAGGTTTTATTGGTGCATTAGGATAGATGGGGCAATGGACAGATGGAAGAGATAAAAGTAGCTCTGAAACCTCCCACAAACTAAGGTGAATTTGGCACAAATGGTTGACTAGCTCTGTGTCTTCCTGTTCCTGAGGGTGTCTGTACAGCAGAGCAGCTCAGAGGAGTTTAGGATAGAAAGCACCTTGCAGAAATGTTTTCATTGAGAAAGACCTAAGAGAGAAACACGTGATTAAGAACTGATGTCCAGAGACATGCCAACTGGACTGGTCAGGGCAGGACAAGCCAACCTTGAAGAAGAAGCTGTCTTCTTCCAGTATTGGGCACTTTAGTCTGGGGCTGGGACATTCACAGCTTGTTGCTCTTGAAGTAGGAATATAGCCCCCTGGCTGTGAGGCCTTGCTTCCCTTCTGGCTGGGCTGTCTCCTGGCCCTGGGCTGAAGGCATGCCAGTGTGCAGGCTGCCCTGGTTCTGCGTTGGGATCACCATCTCCCTTCTGTGGTCATCCACCCACTCCTGGGTAACCACTGTGGGTTCTCTCTCTCCCTGCCCACCTGTCACAGTACACCTTGGGTGAGTGCTGCTCCAGTCCTGTCTGCCTGTCAGAGTGCTTGACCCAGCCTGGGTCTGTCCTCCCAGCTTCCTCTCTCCTGCCTCATAGAAGCTCACTTGTGTCCATCTTTGACCACTGCCTGACTGCCTCTGGGTCTGTCCCTCATCTCTATCCCCTATGTGACTTGCAGTTTGGCTTCTGTCCTGCTCCATGGTCTGGGTGTGTGTCTGGGTTTGTGACCCTGCTTGTGTCTGAATGTGTTCTCCTGTCACCACTTCACTTGTTTGGTACCGGTCTTGACCCTGGACCTCAGTCCCTCTGGTCTGGCCATGGGTGGACTCCTGTGGCTGTGTGCCCGGGCTTCCTATTGGACGGCTCCTGTCCTGCTCCATGGCCTGGGCAGCACCTCCCAGGGTCTGAACATGTTCTCCTGTCACTATCTGGCTTGTCTGGCTCCTGTCTTGACCCTGGACCTCAGTCCCTCTGGTCTGGCCATGGGTGGATTCCTGTGGCTGTGTGCCAGGGCTTCCTATCTGACTGCTCCTGTCCTGCTCCATGGCCTGGGTGGCAGCTCCTGGTGTCTGAACATGTTCTCCTGTCACTATCTGGCTTGTCTGGCTCCTGTCTTGACCATGGACCTCAGTCCCTCTGGTCTGGCCATGGGTGGACTTCTGTGGCTGTGTGCCAGGCCTTCCTTTTTGACAGCTCCTATCCTGCTCCATGGCCCGGGTGGCACCTCCTGGTGTCTGAACGTGTTCTCCTGTCACTATTTGGCTTGTCTGGCTCCTGTCTTGACCATGGACCTCAGTCCCTCTGGTCTGGCCATGGGTGGACTTCTGTGGTTGTGTGCCAGGGCTTCCTATCTGATGGCTCCTGTCCTGCTCCACAGTCTGGGTTGCATCTCTCTGTGTCTGAGTTCCAGTTCCAGTCACTGGGTCACTTGTCTGGTGTGTTCTGTCCTGTTTCCTGGTCTGTGACTGTCTCTCTGACTCCCTCTGTCTGGTCTGGTGACTCTTGGCTTCTCCCACTCTCTGGGTCTGCTGCACATGTCCCCCAGCTTGTGTCTGCTGACTCTGTCTCTCTTGTCTCTGAGATTCAGACTGCCTGTCCTGGTCAAGATCCTGACCATGGGTCTGAGCCCCAATCCCTGCCTGTCCTCTGGAGGCCTGAGTGCTCTGTCCACATTGGCTCCCCTCTTGATGCTGTCCTTCCCTAGCCTGCCCCACTTCAGCTCTCCTGCTCTGTTCTTTCCCCAGCTCTTGTGAGGCCCCAGTGGGAAGGCTTCTACACTCTTGAGATCCACAAGCCCTTGCAGGACTCTCGCTCATTGTCTTGAAACAGGCTTGGGCAACTTTAAACACCAGGACCAGGAATTCCTTGAATTCCACAGTCCCTGTATCATCTTCATCCAGCAGGCGCAGGACTTCATCCAGAGTGGCAGGATCGTGGGGTTCCTGTGGAGAAGAGGCCAAATCAGCATCTCTCCCCTGAAGAAAGTGTGGTTGGGCCAGTGCACTCAGCTTTCAGGCTTCCCACCCCTGAACGGAGCCCACCTGTGCTGGGCCCACACCACTCACATAGCTACAGCAGCCCTAACATGAAATCACTTTCAGTGTGCAGTCCTGCCCCTCTTGCAAGGGTAGAAAGCACCTTTTGTTTTGTATCTTCTGTGCCTGGCATAATTTCTGGGCTATAGGAGAACTGGATCAAGATTCAATGAAGAATGAATGAAATGATTGAGCTCATAATGATTCTTTGGGTTTTCCATGGCCCCTGGCACCTGGCATTGAACAGGATTCTCTCCAGCAAGCCCAACACCAGAAGAAGCATAGCAGGAACATGGCCCCAAGAGGATTCTGTGAGATCGTCACTGAGGCTCAGGTGTTTTTTGAAGATGGGGTGGGTGGGGTCTGGTGGGACCACACGTTGCCCTGAGTATGCATTCTGTTGTGTCTATACATTGCAGTCTCTAAGACCATCATCCTGGTTGCTTTAGATGCAAACCAGACAGGGAGAAACAGGGAAATGCCTCAAGGCCCTGGGTCTGCTTTGCCAGTGGTTGGGGGAGTGGAGAGGGGCTCTCAGAGTGTCCCCCCAGCTGATAATAACCAACCTGCCCTCCAAAACTCATTTCTGATGTGACCACTCAGCTAATATTTTTGAGCAACTGCAAGACACAGAGCTATGCTTCTAATGAATTCTTATTAATGGGTGATCACATTTCTGATAGACATAAGAAGTAGTTACTATATCAGAAGCAGCAGAAAGCAACAATTACTTTCATTTCTAGAATATTCAAAGGCTCTGTTTCTCTCTGAGCTGTCCCCTGTGAGTCCTTTCACCTTGTCTCCAAATTAGAATTAATTGAAGTCAAAGTATTTTCTCTAAGGAGCAGGCCTGTCAACTCCTGTGACTGTCTCTTTTTCCTTTGCCTTCCCTCTTTCAGCCTGCACAGCTGCCAGGAGGCTTGGTGGGCCTGTATCCAATGGCTGCCTCCTCAGATTCCTGAGGCAAAGCATCTGCAGGTAAACCTGTTTCCTCTCTCCTTTCTGGCCCTCCCCACCTGGCCGGGCACACCATACCACAATGACATCAGCAAACTCATGTTCCAGGAGCCTTTTCAGCTCCCCCCGGGTGAGCACAGTGCAGCTGCCCTCGGTCCTGGCGTAGCGCCTGAAGGCTTCGATAATCCCATTAATGTTTCGCAATAACTGAGGCATCTTTGGACTCAAGCTGGAGACAGAAACAAAGCCCCCATGGGGGCTCCAAAATCAACTTTGGTGTTTCCTCCTCCTTCTTCTAGGTCTCTTGCATTTTCAGCTCTGCTTCCGGTGTCTCTGTCTGGGTCTTCCCTCCCCTTTCCTACTTAATGGATTTTATGAATGGGAAGGAGGGGCACACCATGGTTAGTGGCAGGCTCCAGAGTCAGGACTTTTATGCTAGCTTCACCACCTACCTGTCAGGTGAGCTAGGGTAGGTTGCTTTGCCTTTCCATGCCTCGGTTTACTTATTGTGAAATGAAGGTAATCCTATCAAGTACACTCAATAGGATTATTGTGAAGATTAAAAGGGATAATTCATGTAAAGTATTTGGCAGATGCTGGCTTATACTAAGTGGCAGCTTTTAAATATCATTGTGATATTATTATACACATACCTAATGTTTATACATCTATGTAAACTACTGCTCACAAAGCATTTCCATATGCATCATCTCTTGTACTCCTTATTATCTCCACTTTTTTATAGGTGAGGAAACAGGTTCAGAGAAGTTAGGTGATTTGCTCAAGGCCCCACAGCTTGGGGGAACCAAGAAACCCAAGAACCCGTATCTCCTTAACCCAAATGCAATAAGCCTTCTAGACTGTTCCCTGTGGACAGTCTATCCAGTCAATGGTTGTCTGTCATATGATGTTAGGGTCCTGCTGGGAACACTGACAGGCAATAAATACATATGTAAGTCAACCCCTGCCTCGGGTGGAGCCAAGCAGGAACACCAGGGGCCTGACTCCACCCTTTCTTGCTGCCTTTTGGGTAGGTGTTCAGGAAGAGGCTGGGTTACCAGCTATTGGCAATGCTCCAAGTACTAAGTTCCTCTGAACTTGACTTCTATCCTCAGCACTGGGACCTGTAAGGGAGGTCAGTCTGCCCATAGGTGTGTGGCTCCTGCCAGTCCACAGTGCTGTTGGCCTGTGAGGAATGGCTCCAAAATGAAGGGAGAGATTTTCCTTCTCGTTAGCCAGGGATCTGGGCATAGCTTAAAGTGAGTCTTGGGTGCAGCTGGTTGGGCAAGAGGCAAAGGGACTTGGAGGTGCATTAAAGCAGAAGCCTCAGAGACCAGGAGATGGCATTGGAGATGGCAAGTTTCAAATGCAGGGGGCGATAGAAGGCTGCAGAAGCTGGGACACTGGGAGAGGGCACCATGAGATGGAAAGGAGAAGGCATGAGAGAAGGAAGGCCTGGGTGCAGAGGCAGGAGAATGAGGGGAAGCAGGAAGGAGGAAGACTTGGCACTGGGGAAGGTGGGACAACGTGGCCAAAGGCTACAGACCCCAGGTGGGCTCTTCAGGCGGTGTCCTTTCTAGCCCCCAGAAGGCAAAAATTTCAGACAGACTTTGCCTTTATACATCAAGGTACAAAACTCAGAATATTGTATCTCAACAGAGAAATGAAAAGATCCTGTTTTTTGTTGTTGTTGTTTACCACATGGCAAACCTTAACCTCTGGCCTATAAATAGTAAAAATAATAAGATGACTTTTTAGTTACACTTCAGATCCTTTCGGATAAATCTACAAACTCATCTTGCCTAAATATGGCCCTGAAGTGGTGGAGAACCGCCATGTAAGCCCCTTCCTCTGTGAGAAGTTTCAAGCCCATTGTCGGGCTGGCAGGAGTAACCTGATTCTGGCCTCACAGACTCTGAGCACTGCCAAGAGGCTTCCAGAACCTTAAGAATAAGACACCTTTGATGTACAGGAAGGCACATGGGTGGTTCTATTGCTGCTGCTAAAACAGGCTTCAGGAGGAGAAGCTGCTGCCAGGCTAGCCACAGGGGAGAAGGAAAGAGCCTCATGCCTTCAGAAGAATATCCTCTCCCACGTGCACACACCCAGTTTGCCTGAGGCCCAGTCAGAGCGGATACTTTCTGCCCCCAGCTGACACCTACGGCCTGGATCTGACAGCCTGGTTTTATGAGCTCAGATCACCAAGACACTGAGAATAGAAAGAGGTTCCTCAGGAGGGCACTTACCTAATACACAGGCAGGATGAACAAGTGGCTGTTAGGCAATGTATGGAGTACCAGGTCAGCAGCAGAGGAACCTTTTATAGGGGATTTAATGGAGGCTAGTGTTTTAGATAGGCCATCCCCACCCCATGGGAAGGCTTGATTCATCCAAGGTTTGGCCTCGCCCAGCCCCACTTCCCTTCTTGTCTGTTTTACTTGCTGACATGTTGCTGTGTTGGCTTAATGAGCAGGCCCTCTTACTACACTGGGTGTCCTTCCTGAATCCCTCCCTGGGTCTGTCTCCTCATGTCAGAAGTAATGGGCTCAGCAGTGCTCAGCACAGGTCTGGGTTCCCGGTGAACACTCTCCATCTCCATGTGACTGCAAAGTCATGGGACTCCTTTTTTTTTTTTAAATACAAACATTTTAAAATATTTCCATCTATTGAGGGTTACCCTTTCCAAAGTGGCTACTTTGGGAAGCTTTACATGTTTTTCTGGCAATGTTGCCATTACTTAGAACATTCTTGGAATTCTTGTTTTGTAATTGCCTTTCATGCTAAATTTATGAGACATGCAAGAAATTCAATCTCATTTCTTTTTGGTTGGGTCTCATTTTTGATTAAAACAAAAAAAGTTAATAGCTGTCCCCAGCCCCATCTTGTGGGTAGGCAGCATTTTACAGCTGGTGGGAGAAGAGGCTTAAGATAATTAAGTGCAACCCCTTCGTTGAAAAGATGGGGAACTCAACTGGTCAACCAATCAGCAAGTATTTATGGAGAGCTTATTCCATTTCAGACATAGGGCCAGGCCTGAGGGAAACAGTGTGGAACAGGATGCCAGCAGTTTCTACTCTTACAGAGTTTATAGCCTGGCAGTCCCAGGAGAAAGTCCCCAAGAGGTTAACAGTACTGGCAATTAGTGCTTGATTTGCTTTGCTTTGATTTAATTTTCATTACCACCTCATTTTGTTGGCTCCTCATAAGTAAGCCCCTTTTTATAAATGAAGACACCAAGAACCCTTGGAGAAGTGGCCACTCTGGAGAAGGGATGGGTGCACCAGAGCCTTCAATTTCTGGCCACGTTTCCCCTCTATTACAATGTGGCACTTTACAAACATCAAATTTGTTCTCTGTGGATGAAGAACAACCATGCTGGAGGGTGATGAGAAGTAAGCATTCTGAGCTCTGAAGCCAAGTCCCAAATGGGCTCCTAACACACATTTTTGCAGAAAGTATATGTAGCTTCTGGAAAGGCATCTTCACAGTAACTTGTCTGCATGCAGCCCACAGGAAAGGCAGTGACGGTCAGGATGGGAAAGTGCAGTAAGGGCCTTGACTGCAAAGACTGGCAGAGGGAGGGCAGCCCTGCAGCCACAGCACAAGCCCCAGTAAAAGGAGCAGAGCACAGGGTGAGATGCAGCCTGCAGGAGGGCCATCTGCATGGAGAGGGGCTGGCTCCAGTCCCTGGTGGGATACCCCATCCCAGAGGTTGCTATGGTAAACTGGTCAGTTCAGAGAAGGCCAGTGTGAGAGGGAGGTTGGGGAATAAAACGGGGTCCTGCAGATTAGACCTTCCTGCTGTGAGTGGTGTGGTAAGCCTTATCTGAAGGGGCTTTGAACCTCCAGAAAGGTTTGGGAACTAAGGGAAAGTAAGTTTGGGAAGTAACAAGCCAGGTGCTTTATCTATGAGGTAACTCTGAGGTAGGTATCATTACATCCAATTTACTGATGAAGAAACTGAGGTACAGAGAGGTTAAGTAAACTACACAAGGTCACATACCTAGAAAGTGATAGAATTAAATTTGATCTTAGGTCTGCCTGCCTCCAAGCCTGTGTCTTTCCATGGGACAGGACTGAGCCTCGGGAGGTGGCTGGCATGAATGTTTGGGGCTGAGGGAGATGAGGGCGTGTGAGGGATGGGACTGACAGTCTCTGAGGATGTAAAAGTGTTAGTTTGTGAAGTTTGTGAAGAGTTATTACAAATGAGTGGCTTTACTTAGTAGTCACATCCCTTGGGTCTGCCCGGAACCTTGTCCGAAGTTGAATCAAACTCTTATCATATGTTCACTTTGCCTTGGAATAAACAGAAATATCTCAACAAAACAAACTCAGTTTTTTACTTTGATTCCTTCTTACACACTCGCTCAGAAATCGTTACTGATGTTCACTTCATTTATTTCTACAAGCACCTAACAGCCTATCTTTGCTACATTTAGTGGGCTACAAATGAAGAATAAAATTCTGCTTCCCAGGGAATCAGTCTAGCTGGGAGAACAGACCATGAACATCCCAAAGAATTATTTAATAATGGAAGACAAGGTGTTGTAAAATGTAAATCTGTAAAACCAGATACCTTCACCTGCACCCTGGATCACAGAATGGTGACATGGGACAGGGGACTGGCAGGAAAGAATGATTGGAGGGTGGCCATTTGAGTTTCCTCCAAAAAGCTGAAGATGGAAAAATTCCATAATCTTGGGTTTCACCCTCAGAAAAGAACAAAAACAGGTCTGAAAGCCAGAGAGCATTGCCTGCAGTATCACGTGTGGTGAGAGAAGTCACCTGTCCATGCACTGCCTACACATCCTAAATGAGGCACAGGATGAGGACACAGCTATCAGAGAGAAAAAGAACAGTGGACGTTCTGGGCCTCCTTTTTCTTTCTCTGCCCCAAATGTGGTCTCTTCTCCCAAACCCACCCCACCTGGGTCCTGGTTAGAGCATCCTGGAAGCCCAGATGCTCAAGTTCAACCCCGGATATGGCAGGGAGGATTAGGCAGATACCTGAGTCATGCCTGTTGACACAGTTTGCAATGTCTTAGTGAGTATCTATTACACATTATGGGCCTAATCCCCAACCTGACAGGTGGTGTTGATTCCACTGTGTCTCTGAGTCCTATGCAGACGGTGAGCATGTGACTAATAATGTCATTACCATTAGCCAGGAAAGCTGGAAGCTGTCATTTGAAAGGGAGTCTGAATTTCCCAGAGCT